ATTGCATCAGATACATTTTCAATCTTCTCACTATTAAATAGAGGCGTGACTCCAGAATTTTGCTTGTTCTCTTCTCTGTCTTAAATGGTCCATCCACTCCTTCTTATCTCAAGGAGAAATTTCAGTATATTTCCTTAACGCATGATAGAATTCTGCGTTCCTCATAAAATAATAAACTAAGTATCCCACTACATTTTACTAATTTTGTTGGTAAATCCTTCACCATTCAGGCTGCACTGCTCTGGAACTCCTTGCCCGATGACGTCAGAAAAATATCTAATAAGCCTTTAAAAGATTAGTACATAAACACTTTATGAAGATATTAGATGATAGTTAATATGGTCAATTTGGTTACCATTGTTGTTATTTCATTTATAGGTTTATGTGATATATCTATTTGTATTTAAAATATGTATATATTTATGTATCTAAATATGTATTTGTATGTTAATATAATATATTGAGTCCGTATTAAATTTTATGGTATATAAGTTTATTGTATTTATATATAATAAATATAAGTTTGTTTTCAAGTTTATCATTTATTATCCTGATTTACTCTATTGTTGATTTTATTTTATCACCTATCACATAATTTCCACACGTCCCGGGTTGACTGGGAGTGAATGCCTAAAGGCATTAAGTCCGTCCCTTGTAATCCTTTTATTAAGGTGCAATAAAGTGTAAATAAATAAATGTTGTGGGATTATTCATTTTTAAATAAATAATTTATTTGTGTAATTTATAGGCTGATATATATTTTTATAAATAGTATTTTTTTGGCTTTATTATTCATTACTTGAAAGGAATAATAACTAATACCATGATACTGTTACGAGCTTGAGGTTCGTGACAATAAAAATTGCCGATAAAATTACCTAAATTAACACTTTAATTTACTTTACACAAATTAAAGTTAAAAACACTAATAATTAAACACACTTATTCACTTTATTCCGCTCCGAAGCTTCGCTTGTTTCGCCAAATCAACACTACTACCAATTGCATCTTGCAGCGCCTATATATTTAAATTAGCAAAGAAATATCCAGAATGTTCAAGTAAACACGCGCAAGGTACCGAGCGTTCGAGTTTCGACTAGGCGCTGTCGGTTGAGTAATTTGTGATGTCATTTTCTCAATGCTCCCCTCGCTCTCGTTCCTGACACTAGATGGCGCTAGTGTATTGTCGATTTGAGCGCGTTACAATACTTTCACTTCAAGGCATTTTCTCATTAATATTTTTTTATCATTAGTCCAATTTAAAAATTTATTAAGAATTTCTTTTCATCATTATTGAGCATCACTTACCAAATACATACTATTACATTATATACTTACTAAATACGTATTTTATGCGCTGCTTTATAGTACATCAGATTGCAGTAAAACTTTGTCAACTTATTGTTGCACTTGCAACAATAAGTTGACAAACTTTGCACTGTTCGAAGAGTATAGGAACAGTACAATTAACTTACAGTAGATAGTGCGCGTATCGTACCCACTTTATTTGAAAGTTATATAATAGGTCTTTACCTATGAAATTGCCGTTCAGCAGTACTGGCCATTTCAAAGCAAGATAATTTTTGTTTGGTTAAGAATTCTAATTTCAAAATAATTTTATTTTAAAAACTTGAAATTCTTTTTTCAAAATTAGTCATCTGTTTTTTGATTAGCGTTACGTTTTCAACGCGTTTGAAATTTTTTCCTCATCATGGATATGTTGAAAATTCGGCACAAGCGACACGCAACATCAACAACCTCTACAGAGCGAATGCTACAAACGAACGCAACACCTGCTACTCGCTTCCGCTCTGAAAATTTGATTAAAAAAATGAACCCTGTGGTCGCCCAAAAACTGTGATCGAGAGTGACATGATACTCAATCTACGGCTGAATTAGTAGCAGCTTTCGACGTTACTTGCAATGAAAAATGTATTCTGTTTAATAATAGCTCCGCAAGTTTGCTGGAACCTGGTTCAGCACTTAAAAAATGCCCTAAATGAAAACTTACCCCTATAAAAGTGATGGTCACTGTTTGGTGATCTTGCGCCGGTGTGATCACCGTAGGATCATTACAGCTTGGTAAGAACCAAACAGGATGGTGTAGATGTTGTGAAGTACTGAATACAATTATGGAGAAGATCGCACATTGTCGGCGCACGTCATCGCGCCTCGGCGAAAATGATGGACGCGTGGGGGCGCGGACCGGTCGCTGGCCTCGCGGCGGCGCGGGCGCTTCAGTACCTCACTCAGCGGCGAGACGCGGTAGCAGACGGGCACTTTATTTTTCAATTTATAATACGTTTGTTTAGAGGTTTTACGGCATTAAACCTATTGTTAATACAGTCCACTCATTTTATTTCTAAAGCCCCGATAAGGCCTAAACACACATATCAAACCAGCTTTGGTCAATCGCTTGTCCCCGCTGCTCCTGCACGACAACGCGCGATCTCATACTGCACAACAGACGGTCTCCATGTTACAAGAGCTGAGGTTGGAAGCTCTCCGTCATCCGCCGTACTCACCAGACCTTGCGCCTCTACTTTTGCGCTTCTACTTTTTTCAGGATTTTAATATCTTTTTGGCGGGAAAAAATTCAATACCCGCGAAGCAGTACATAATGCCTTTGAAGAATTTGTTGCCTCACGTCCAATTGATTTCTTGAGGAAGGCATCAATAAACTGCCACTGTATTGGCAACGATGTATCAATTGCATGGGTGATTACTTTAACAAAAAATATAGAAAAAAAGTTAACCAATTTCATAAAAAACGGCAATTTCATAGGATAAGACCTAATATCATTCAACTTCAATGAATGTATTATCATTCCTAATTAAACAATATAACTCTTCTAAATTTCAAACGATATTTCTACTACTATTTCTTCTGTGGCAACAACACGCCGGGCACCAGCTAGTTTTTTTTTTTTAATAAAAATGATGCTATATTTGTTTTAAATTGAAAAAAGTTGCACAAGTTGAGATAATTATAATAGATTTTCGTAATACTTTACGAAACTACTAGCTTTGCTTTTCGTAAAGGTATAGGCAGCTGGTAAAATGTAACTGTGTTCATCATAACCTTCTTTGACAGCTCCGTGATGCAGTGGCTTAGCATGAAATGCGACGTTGAACGCTGTCGGTTCGAATTCCGCACCGAACAATATTTATTTTGTACCACCTACAAATTAACAGTTCCAGTTCTTGTTGTTTGTCCTTGTGAATTTTATGTAGTATGTAAACTGCGTCCATACAAGGGAAACTATCAGGATGGATGTTATTTTTTAAAAAGAAAAATACTAAAGAAAATGTTCTATAGAAGGAAAAAAACAAAGAAGTCTAAATGAAAACATCATATTATTTGGTATAATATATTTGTCATTACAAAAATGTTAATGTTAGCAAAAATAATCACAGTCTGACACTTCTAATTTACATAACTAGTTTAGAATCTAGAATTTAGTCATATAATTAATTGCCTTTATATAAATCTATGTTTATACATGCAACACCACGCTAAATTACAACGTTAATCTAAAACAAAGTCTAGTCTAGACTCCGCTCAAAACCTAACTTACTGTACAACGTAAAACTTACATTGCTATCAATAGTTTCGGAAACATTGACTTCATTATCTTTAACCTTATAATAATTACAAACGGAAATATTTAGTTAAATCGTCTAATTATATTATAATAAATAAGATGGCGCTATTTTTGTTTTTAATGACAACTTGCCTCACTTTGCGTCACTTGCGTCACTGGCAACACTGAACTGCCAATTGCAGAGGCAGATCAGAAATAAATTTTATTTTTGAAACAAATTTATTTAGCAAATATTCCAGAATTATTTTATAAAACAAAATAAAATAAAATTTTGTGAAACAATGGAGAGAGTTAAAATTTTATAGATTAGCTATATTTTATATTAGATTAATAATTGACTTTTAGTGTTACTACTTTCCAATTATTTAATTGTTGTAGCTTTTATAGTCTATGGCACCATCTTATTCTATGGTAACTCGTTATTCAGGTATCTCAAAGTCAATGTCTAAAGTTTAACCCTAAAACATCTCCCTACCAAGAAAGTATAAAATATATTTATGTTATTACAAAAATACCCTTTGAAAGCGTTGGACCAATCATAATTGCTAACATTCCCTACTAGCCACCTTAGGACCAGTAACTCTTACGAGAACCCCTTAATATTATAAATACAATACTAATATTTACACATGGACTAACAGTCATTTAGCTATAACTACTAAATGGCTTAATACCATAGCTAGCCATGATCCTTAATGCTTTTTAATAATTATGTATACAAATCGGGCGATATTTGCTTGTCAATTTATTTATTGTAATCTACAATAGATGCTTCATTTATATAGGTAACATGGCAACAATTTAGGTCTTTCTGTCAACTTTTTTTTTAAAATATGTAGATTGCATTGAATAGCGATCATGACGGTTTATGGAATTAAGCCACATTCTGTTCTTAGCAGTTTGAGCAATAAAAAGTTTGATATACTTAGACAGAGTTTTATTTGTCAAAATTGGAATTTGGGTTACTCAGTACAAATCGGTCCCTGATAACGTTTTATCGACATATAAATTAAAAATTATTTTGATTTAAGTTATTAAAAAATAAATTATAGTAGTTAGCAGAAGAGAGCTCAGGAATTATATGTATGTGGATATAAGCGGTCGGTACGCAGCAACCCTTCGGAAATTACATCACTCTTTACCTACAAAATTTATGTAGGTTTTTGTTTACGTTGTTAGCGTAGTTAAGGAGAAGGGGCATCAGAAAATTTTATGTGTCTAGTTACGTCTTTAAAGTAATGTAACACCGACCTTCTGTTTTCTTTCTAGAAAAAATTCACATTAAGTTTGCTGTCAGTTTTTTTTAATAGAATGCTCTTAAGCAAATAACGAACTCCCCTTTGAAGAGTCATGATTCAATCTTACTAGGCCCCCTCCTTTCAATCATAGCGTGAGTTATCCACGCTTAAAACGTAATATTGTGAGCGTTACAACAAGGAAGAGTGCGATCCAAGTCAACGTGGCCACGAAGCCCATGTACACGTCAGGATCTTGTATAGGCCAGCCTCGAGTCAGAACCGAACGTAGTGATGTGGTTGCGAGCGTTAGTGGTAAACATAAAGCGATGTATCGCAAAGCCCAAGGCATACCCTCGATTGGCCAGATCACTCCACTCAGCAGCAATGTAGGGTAGAAAGAACCGAGCGCAAGTTGGATCGCGTTCCGTTCAAGTTCGCATGCAGCCGATATCACGAAACCGAAGCACATCCCGCAGAGTCCTGAGGGCACAATAATCATTTGTGTTTAGAAGAGAAGAAGAAAAGAAATTGTAGGGCGATGAAATAGAATCACAATTAGAAATTAGTCAACTAGCAAATTTTGACCACGATAGCTACTTCTAAATATATATATATATATATGATACTAAACCCAGAGTTGTATATATTTTACGATTTAATTAAAATCTAGTCTACACCAAGATAAGTATCTTTAACTTAGTGATCTTCAAAATCAAAAAAATAAATTTTATTGTAACCTTTTTCGCAAATTGGACTGCAAAGTCTTTTATTTTAATTAGACAAAGACAAATGTCGATTTAAATAAAATAAGTGGATACAATGGATCAAATTAATAATTGTTTTGTCTTGGATTTAAACATAATATCATGGATAACAAAAAGATAATTGATAGAATCAGGCGTTACTTTGCGGAAATCCATTATAATAAAAAATAAAAATATAAATTTCTTTGCAACTTTCCGCTAAACATATAAAATGATGTGTCTTACCTGAATTGAAGCGCACCTCCCCGCCCTCCCTCAATTGCATACACTAACTCCGTCACCACTGCTTGGTCGCACCACTACTCTCAACACCACTATTCCAGGCAAGACACACCATCGACGATAATACGACACGTGTTTCGCCTCTACAGGAGGCATCCTCAGGTAATATAGACTCTACAGCGGCTGACCGCTAAGTAAGACTTAAGTAAGACTTAGCGGACAGCCGCCGTAGAGTCTATATTACCTAAGGATGCCTCGTGTAGAGGCGAAACACGTGTCGTATTATCGTCGATGGTGTGTCTTGCCTGGAATAGTGGTGTTGAGAGTAGTGGTGCTTGGTCTAGTGGTGACGGAGTTAGTGTATGCAATTGAGGGAGGGCGGGAGGTGCGCTTCAATCCAGGTAAGACACATCATTTTATATGTTTAGCGGAAAGTTGCAAAGAAATTGATAACAAAAAGGTAAAAGTAGTTGTAGTTTTTTTAGGGTTATTTTAATAGTAAAAGGTGACAAATGATCACACTGTCCATCCGATGTTAAGTAGATCTTGTAGTCCATAGACATCTAAATCTATCCTCGATGAAGAATCAAGTTGCAGATGCGTTGCCACCCCTGAGGACTAAGATGGAATTTACGAAAAACGGCAGCATCGAGCTGCTTTTTTACGCTAGTGTTGTGAGGGTATGGCTTTTCCCCCAGTTGAGCCAACCCATTTGTGCTACAATCATAATATAGCTGCAGCATGGCTCTACTATGTACAAGGTGCTTGCCTTAAATTTCATGGTATAATAAGTATTCTAAGTTGATCACTACCACCACGTGGTCAACTGTAAATAAAAATATCGTGAGGAAACCTATATATTTAAAAGTCTACCAATTAGTACTGAAGCAGTTGGACTTTCTTCTGCTCTATACGCATATAAGAAATAAAGCCTGTGTGCAGTAGTGGCGTATATTCAGAATGCTACTTAACTATTTTTAAAGATTGTGTAAAATAAAAAAAAGAATCACTAATTTATAAATTAGAGAAATTACTTCTAATTATATATAATAGGTACCTTGCAACAATGTTAGCATGATGACGTAAACGATATTTCCATTGCTCTTGACACCGAATACCAAGATCATAAAGATGAGGACCAAGGCAGTCTGTCCGCACATCACAACAAACTGGGTCACAACGTGAGAGAATAGAATTTCTCCAGGAGAAACTCCAGCCACCCAGGATCTATCCAGAAGACCTTCCATTCTTTCCACGATTAAAGCAGACGATGTAAGTGCCACAGCCAAGAAAAACACGATTCTGAAAAGAAATAGTAAAAATGTAAGAAGTACTACATAAATACAATTTGAAATATGATTATGACTAAGCGATCTGAATAAGTGTAAAAATTCTAGGTCTGTGGTTCAAATTCACCACTAATATCGTGAACTATTACCAGTTTCACTCAACAGTAGCATTTTACGCTTACTTGGTGTGGTTAGCGGGAACATTGGTATGACTAGTTAATGATGATAATGAAGATACGTCACTTACGTCAAAATAACTCCAGGCGCAACGAAGTCTGTAAACGAGGGGTTGTTGTCACCGTATATTGGGTCCTTGAAGTCGATTGGTATGTCACCCACTTTCGGATTGTAGTTGCACGTTTTAAGTAAGTCCTGCAAAAGTAACAGTTCATGGATATTTTTATTCTATTTTTATTGAGTTATATGTGAGTTTAGGACATTTTTTGTGTCACATATCTAAAATATCATACATGTCAAAAAATTTTAAAAAACTATTTTCTCCAATTCCCTGTAGAAGTGTAGGTAAATGATTTTTTAAATAATTAGGTATAATTGGTCTTTTTGTTACCATTATAAAGTAAAAATCTGTACCTACATAACGTCTATGGAACGCAACTGACACATTCATAAGACCAAATGACAAAATTAATGTGAAGTAATAATTATAAAATGAGAGCTGGCTTGAAATAATTTTTTCATTTTATTTATTACACTATCATAAGACATATTTAAAATTTCAATTATCATCAAACTTAGATGAAGGAAATTAAATCAAAATTTATTCTACATTTTAAAATATTCCCTAGTCAAATAAGTCAAAGAAGTTCATAAGGCAAAGAATGTTTTAAAAAATCATTAATGTTTCAATTTAAGACAGGATTAGTTGTCGATAAAATAATTTGTAATATACAGGGCTGTTAATGCACTTCATATAAATAACGGAGCGAATTGTAGCGAAGAACGAAACTTTTCTGAATAAAGGAACCGAGCTTATGTGCTTATTTTTTTCCAATATTTAGATACCTACTGGATAACATTGTGGTGAAAACTTACCTGAGCGAAATCTCTATATGCGAATTGTATGTCCCTGTTGAGCATAAGTCCTATTTGTTGGTTGGACATATCCAACCACACTTGCACCTCGGATGACATAATCGTATCGTTGTCTGCCGTGTCCGCTGCAAGAGGAGGAATTTTTAAGTTTTTCGGTATAATATTACATTTCACAAATCAATATAAATCATGTGTTAATTTTGTATCTCGATCGATATTACATAGTACATATACTACTAAATGTATATTAATAATATAGATGTGTAGTATTACTTGTACGTTTAAATAGCATTAATGTACGAAAACAACTTTCTGCAGGTGCAGATTGTTGATTTTCGTTAAATAGTAAATTTTACTAACTATCAACTCTATTTTTTATTCAATTGTTCTTTTAATTGTCATTATAACTTGCAATTTAACGGTCGGATTTGACGGACTTGTATTATATTTAGTAATAAAATGTATTTTACATTTTTTGAGATATTTTTTATGTCATACATCATGACCATACGTAATAAAAAACAATATAATTTGCAAGAGTTATGACAGTTATATTGTTATATCAGGTGTTTGAAAGTGTTCAAAGTTAATTATTATCAATTTCATCTGTATTGTTTTTATATCAGTCTGTAATCAGTGAGCAACATTGATCAGAAATAGCTCAGCATTAAAGATCAAAATAAAGACTAATTTAGGCCCCAAGTATCTAAAGGTGATTTATTTAATAATGGTGACAAACGAGCACACAGTCCATCTGATAGTAAATAGATCTCTCTCTCTAGTCGGTCCCTCATGACTGAGGATCGTGATCACCATCACGGAGAGTAAATTTATTGTTTATAATCTCTCTCCACCGGGTCCTATCGCTGGCCATACGGAGAGCGTCGTAGAAATTTCGCGCACCGACTTCTTTGACTTGGTCGGACCACCGGGTTGGAAATCTACCTCTGGGCCTTCTTCCCTCTACGTTTCCAACAACTATCAATTTTTCGATACTTTCGTCCCCGCGGCGAGAGATATGACCAAAATAGCTGAGGATGCGCTGAAGACATGTGGTGGAAAGACGCGTCTTGATCTTGAGTTGCGATAGGATTGACACGTTTGTGCGCTTCGCATTCCACGGTATTCGCAGCATTCGCCGCCAGCACCACATTTCGAACGCATCAATTCTCTCCCTTTCTCTGACGCGTATAGTCCATGTTTCCACTCCATAGAGAAAAATTGGGAATATAAGAGTATATACTAGGCGTAATTTAGTATTATTTGTTATGCTTCTGTTTCTCCAGATGTTTGTCAGCTTGGTCATCGCATCCTTAGCTATTGCTATTCTACGCTTAATTTCGGGAACGCAAGTACCCTCATTTGAGATCAGAGATCCCAGGTATATATAACTCTCCACAACGTCGATCCCTTGAATGCTGCAAGTGTTGGAAAGTTTGCTAGCCCGGTCTATAACCATGAGTTTCGTTTTATTCCTGTTGATTGACAGACCTAGCTCTTCGCTTTCTAATTCTAGCTTATGCAGCAGCTCCTCCATGTCCTCATAAGATGTTGCAAAAAGCACAGTGTCGTCCGCATATCGCAAGTTAGCCACCCTTTTACCCCCAATATGAAACCCTTTATCCCATCCTTCCATGGTTTTCCGCATGATGTACTCCCCATATATATTAAAGAGCAACGGAGACAGTATACAACCTTGTCTCACGCCTTTTGTAGTCATAAACTCTTTGGAAAGACTGCCTAAAGAGTAAATAGATGCTGTGACCCATAGTCATCTGCATTTATCCTCGATTAAGAATCAAAATGCAGATGCGTTGTCACCTTTGAGGATTAAGATGGAATGCCTCGTTCCCACTAAAATGGTCTCTGGATCTCTACACTATTTTACGCTGGTATTCTGTGAGAGCGTGACCCTTCCCCAGTCGAGTCGACACATTGTAGCGCGACATTCAAAATATAGCTGCAGCGTGTAGATTTCGATATATAGTATACGCACAAAGATAGTAGTAGTTGACAGATAATTAAACTTACCTAGAGCTAGTCTAGCAACAAGAGCATCCGTATAATTCTCGTTGAAATAAAGAGCGCCCCAAGCGTCGCCGTCTCTCACCGCCTGTATGGCGGATTCCACGTCGAAGTAGTACTCCTTTATGATGGACTGGTTTTTCAGATGGTTCAAGTATCGACAAGAGAGGTTCTTCATCGAACACGATGAGTTGTATGGACAGTAACCATCTATGACGTTCACATCATCGTTGACAATAGCCTAGTAAAAAAAGTATTAAAAATTAAAATAATAAAGTAAGGCAGTCTATACATATGCGTTTCGTTGCTAGAAAAAATCTGAAACTGTAAGAATAATTTTTTATATTCTACTGGTTATGGGATTGAACTCACGAGTAACGATGATATATTATAATGTATGTAATGGCGAATTTTTTTAGAAAAATGTAATAAATTGCCAGAATTAATAAATTCTAATATAATCAAAGTTACTAATTTAGGTGGTAGCCAACAACACGAAACATAAAATGTACATGTACAATTAGCACTTAATTCATTGAATTTATCTTATGGATATCACAGGTTTATAGAACTGTATCTTGGTGTGTGACTATAAACAAGGTTTTTATTATAATAAAGGCATAATTTACAACATAATCAAAAAGATAGTACAAGGAATCACGTGTTCTTAAGAAGAATAGAATTACTAAAAAGTTGACAGGAATAATAAATATGAAAAATTTAAAGCGGTATATATTTCACAACGAACTTACAAGTCTAAGTCCGCTAGGGTCTCTTCCAATGGCCAAACAGAAAAGAATGACTTGCATGACGGGCAGCGCGAAAATAAACAGCATGACACCGATGTTCCGCCACATCCGCAGGAAGTTCTTCTGAATTAAAGCCTTGATTTTTCCCCGCGAGGTCCACTGTAAGACGAAAGTTATTTGTGAAGGTTGTAAAAACATTCCAAAATTTTGATTTGTGATCATCAAAAACTTAATGTCAAATTATTGTAAAACTAGCTGCACATAAGCCACGTGTTGCTAAAAATTAAAATAAAAACACCCGCGTATTTGAATGCAAAGTTGTGACAAAAATTCAAAGCAATAATGTTTTAACAAACTAACATTTACATTTTCATATAATTACATTAGCTTGATATATTATTTAACGAACCTCGTAGTTTGGAGACTACAATCAATTTTTTAAATTGCACAGCGAAGCGAGCGGGTCGCTTCGCTGTGCGCGTGATAAGAAACGCAAATAACGTAGATATAAAATATCAAGAATATTTTTATGGCACTATAGTAAAATCCGTTAACATATATTTATCCGTTATTTTTATCTGGTATTATTATATTTATCCGTTAATATTAATTTTTTTTAAAACTAATTTGTAGGAGTACCCCAGGGTTCAATATTTAGTCTGAAACTTATCAATAAGTTCTCATAATGTATATGCCTACTTCATTGAATAAAAAAAATTATAACTTACATTGAAACAACTGCCACAATCCTCACATTCGGTGGTCACTACTTCAGTCACTTTGCCAGGAAGCTGGAATCGAAAGTGAAAAAATGATTCAATAAATTAATGTTAAAACATTAATTTAAAACAAAGTAAACTTTAATATTAAAGGCTTTTGTATAGATACAATCGGTGACACCCTATTATAGTTTATTGTAAATAATTATTCATTAAATTTTTGGATTGCTTCATTTTTGCGTACAGAAAAGGAGTGGAATAATTTTGCTGGCTTTTATCCATCCGACTACAATCCGGTCTATAAGGCATAAATGATTAGTCATTTGTGACGTTAAGAATCCCAATTTACCACGTAGAGCTCCATCACGACTCACCACCAGGTGGGATTGTGGTGAAACACTAACTTATAATAAATAAAAAATGATAAAGTGACCAGTGCATTGGATAGCCGTATTTTTACCAACTAAATATTGTTTGTTTAATGATATAATTAGTAACAAATCAACAGCTCGTGTTTAAAAACCCGTATATAGAACACAGTTTTGGACTTCTTTTTCGGTTAGTTCGGAATATTTGCGGTAATCACTACGATGGACAAAATACTTAGGTATGACAGTATCATTCCACAGTTTTGGACTTCTTTTAATAAATTAACAATAAATATAAACAAGTTAGGAATATTTGCGGTAATCACTACGATGGACAAAATACTTAGGTATGACAGTATCATTTCTATATGCTATTGAGAGTAAAAAGTCTGGTATATTTGTTATCACGTTTCGTAGACCCCACAATTTTCTTAAATTTCTCGCCCCCGGATTCGCCTAAGTGGGATCTATTAATACAGCGTTATTTACATTTAAGATAGTCAAAAACATTGTTATATCAATTTTTCTTTTCTCAAAAAAGTCCAGTATTTATGGGAGAAAATATAGCTTAGATCCCTCCTGACATTGCTCTCTATCTGTCCGTGAAGTTTCATTACAATCGGTTTAAATATTCTAAAGATTAGCCTGCACAGAGAAACAGACAGATATTTTTTAAATGGTTATTCATGTTTAATGGCATTAAATAAAACTATTATTTACGGATTTTATCGCGTTATTAATTACAACTATAATTTATTTTTATTATCCCGACGTTTCGGGTGCTTTACAGCACCTATGGTCACGGGTCGGACTGAGATATTTGACGTCCCAATGTCATAGTGCGGCTACCTTCAGTTTTTTAAATATTAATTTTTGGTCCGATTTACACAAAACGAGCTTATAGTATCATGAAGTCTTGCAGTATGCTAGGGTTTGGGTTTAATTTTGTTAATTATAGGATCCCAAGCAGATGGAAGCACCCATCCATCTTCTATATTGAAATTTGGATGTTTTTTAATTTCAATAGCCTCGCGTATCATCCTTGGTAGTGGTTGGTCTTAATGGCATGCAAATAACACAGCTGCTGAGCCGTGTAAGCTCAGATGGTTAGAGCTCGCTGTAAAGCAAACCAGGTTCGATCCCCGCCAGCACCAATCAAATTGTTAATTGCAACTTTAGGTGCTGATTTACCACGTGCTGGGTGGTGAAGGAAAACATCGCCAGGAAACCTTGCATGTATGAGCAATAAGAAAAAAATATTTCTAAGACATGTAAAATTCGCCAACACGTATTGGGGCAGCGCGGCGTACAATTCCTTGCCCTAAAACCCTAAAACCCTCTCAGAAATAAGCGGAGGCCTGTGCCCAGGAGTGGGACGTATATAGGCTGTAACTTCAAATAACACAACACAAGGCAGCTATTTTTTGATATTACAGACCGACTTAAATTTTAATAATATTAAGTCTATTTCATTATCACATTGTTGTATGGTATTGAATAAATCCATACATAATTTTAATCATACTTAAGCTTAATTTACTCACATCGCCGTTAGAGCCAGCTCCGTTGTCAATGATTAGGACTTCCTTGCTCTGGTGGAAGTTTAGACCCACTACGTGCGTGTCCTCAGCTGCGTAAGGCGCTTCTTCTCTCTTCGACATCTTGTTCAGCCCTAAGCCTCCGCCCGAAACGTTGAGCTCCACCACTTGGTTGGCTTGACCTGTTGGAGAAAGTAAAATTATTGAAATATTCTCGCTACTCTAATGTGAGATGGGAAGCACTCCGCAACTGTGTTATGTCTATATCTATAATAATATTCTGTAACGTAAAATATCAAGGCCCTTTTATACCGCTTATATATATATATATATATATATATACATATATATGTCGCATTTTCCGCATTCTCAACACGCGTGTAATAAATATCGTGAATTTGCTGGAGGATGCATTTATTATATGCTCTCTCATATAATAAATGCATCCTCCAGCAAATATGTACAGAATCAGATCCTATAGATCGCATTTTAGTACCCATAATACTTATTTTTATTACTTTTTTTTATAAACTTCTCTCTTTTTTCAAAAAAGAGGGTACTACTATCTTTGTCTTATTACGTACGAGGTATCTTCGCATTGTTTAGCAATCGAGCTAAATGCATCGTAATTATAATAATAAATAATAAGAATAATAAAAAATTACTTTATATGACAATTCCATTTCATAACAATATCACTGAACCCTGACTCCCAAACTAGGATACCCTGTATTTCGAGAGTCGCTTCCATCCCATTCAGTAACTCTTTGTGTTAAAAGTATAATAGGAAATGTTAATATTAATATTATATTATAATAGTTGATATTTAGATTAACATTATACATGCGTATGTATGTTTGTATGTGTGTGTAAGTGTGATGGGAGCTTAGTCTAAACCATCATGTTTTTAGTCTTGAAACGTAAGCTGAGTTTGTAAAATTGACTTTTTATAACCCAGCGTATAAAAATAACTTTCAACAAAAAGTTAAAGCCGACTTCGCAGTACTAAATAGAATAGATTAATTTCACATTTTGATGTAGGTGCTAAGAAATAAAAGAAAAAGTTTATCCCTTAGTTTGCCACCCTTAGGGGTGAAATTATTTCTGAGATACCACGGCTCAAAATCGACCAGAAGGACACAGTTATAAAAATATAGATGTTTTTGACACTATACAATGTAATGAATATTGCATATTAATACGAAACATTAAAAAACATTTACCTTCGCAGCTCATATTACTGGAAGTAATAAAAATTAATAATTATTTCATGATAAGTGAGGTCGTATGTTTAAATATGAACTTAATATTGCTTACAAAATATAAAGAAAATAATCATGTCTGAACAAAAAAATAAAATAAGAGTTTTTATCATTTTGAAGACGTTCACCTTGAGAAATTTTTACGCGGCGACGTTTTTAGGGTTGCCTACTTTAAATCTTTGGCCTACTTGCCATATTATGTCTTCTTCTTGGGGTAATATTGTTTGTGAAAATGTGTCAACATGTACATGTTTGGGCAAACTTTAAGTCATCATTTATCCACTGGAGTGACTGATCTGACATCGGAAACTCATCATCATTATCATCAGCTTGTATATTCCTTATCTTGACGATTACGTGACAAACTTGCAAGTAGCTTTATTTTAAAGCCGTTTAAAGGTGTTGCCAGGAGAGGGAAGTGTTATTAAAAATACCTGTAAACAGGTAACTAGTTTATAAAGAATGCCACAGATGTTTTTTCGATCCATCCATTACAGCATATAAAGTCCCACTGCTGAACATAATCCTCCCTCACAGATTGCCTCGGAAAAACTCCGCTCTATGAGAGTGGAGTTTTTCCATAGTTACAATACATATAATTCATTCATTTGTAGGGACCCTTTCATTCAAGTATTGATTCGTCTTACGAACCGGGTCATTCGGGTCAATCATTCAAATGTATCATTTCGAGTTTCAGTTAAAAAATCAAAGTAGATTCGATAGACGAAGAGTCGATTGAGTAGATGAAGTAGACGAAGTAAATTTTTAACGTTAGATTTTACACACTCGCACGTTTTAACTTTTATTTGACATACAGTGAATGTTGAACATTCAACATTATATATATTATATATTATATATATATATATATTATATATATTATATTATTGTTATAGTATAATAGCGGCGTCAGAGAATTCACTACCTCATAATATCCCGTGGTTGTCGTAAGAAGCAACAGAGGGAAATAGGGACAAGAGATGGGCAGCTGCATCTTCCCGATAACAACTTTATAGTAATAAAAACTCAAACGAAAAACAAAACTCCACCACTACTATGGAAAATATGTCCGAAATGCGTAAAATGAGACTATCAGCATTAAAATTCAAAAAGGAAATCTTTAGAACGAAAATGGATAAAAACTATATCTGAGATAAGGATTTTCCAAATATATTTATATGCAGTGCGCCTTCTATCCGTTTTGTTGGTCTGTGCAATTCCACGTTTCAGTAATCTCGGTAATTTTTTTGCAGTCGCCATGTTTATATGACAAAAAGAACGTGATTATTATTTATTACCGATACTTACATAAACAAAATTTTGTAGCGTTTTATTATTTTACAGACGGAGTTATTCTGCCAAGGTCTACGTTAATTTAAATAAAAGTTTCTTTTATAGAAGGAAGAGTGATACATGAAGTGACATTCCACCTGACATTAGGTGAATGATGTGATGAAAGAAAAAAAAAATCATATTATTTATATTATATTGCATATTATAAGTAATATTCCTTTTTTCAACGACAACTTCCTGATTCATCTTAGGATGTATCATTGTAAAATATGATTTTTGTTAGGTTTTAACTTTAAGAGGGCGTATTTTAAATCACAGAAACGCAATAAATTAAATTAAAAAGAAAAAGAAAAGGGTGTATGATGTCATGATTATCTTCTTTGGTATTTTATATTAATATAAATTTCGATGACTAATAACTAAAACCTTAGAGGGACCGAAACTTTTTATATGTAGTAGAGCCACGCTGCAGCTATAATATGGTTGTAGCACGAAAGGGTCGGCTCGACCGGGAAAAGAACACGCGCTGACGAAATACCAGCATAAATTATGTATGGTGAGTGTAGTGAACCGGAGAGCCGTTTTACTGGAATTAACACACCTACTACCTATTCGTACTACAACTACACTACTAATATAATTGAAGTACGGCTTTACCACGTATAATATATAGATAAAAAATTAATGTATGATTTACCACGTACGATTATAGTGAAGTAAAACATGGTAAAGAAACCTGTGGTATAAGAAATCAAACATTGCAAGGACGTGTGAAGTCTGCCAACACGCTTTGGAGCAGGGCGGTGGATTGATTTCTCCATAACCTGCTCAAAATGAGAGGTTTGAACACAGCTATGGGACATGTAAATGCTGTAGCTTTAGATAAATTTACGTGCATGACATACCCTGCTTTCTAGAGAGTTTAAGGAACACATCTTCGAGCGAGATGCAGCTGTACATTGTGAGAAGAGCTTGTGGTGATTCCTCGGCGAGCAGTCGGCCGCTTCGCATTAATCCGATCTGAAAATAAACATGAGTGAAATTTTTCATAAAAGTATTTTATTATTTTATAATCTGTGTGTGGCTTAGCAATACATTGCAGCGCTTAGGATCCCGGGTTCGAATCTTGGTCTCGGTTACAGGTGCTCTTAATTTGGCCCATCTTCAATATATCGCCAATTTGATCGATAAACTTCTGCTTAATGTCCCTTGCAGACTTTGCCACCCAATTCTGCATCGTAAATTTCATCATACCTTATTCATTCTTTCCACGTGTAAAAACTAACGAAGCATTTAATTTTTTAATCCTGAATATATCTTATAAACTTGTAAACCTTATCTCTCATCACACTATTTATCACCTTATCATTTATAATCACACCAAATATAACTCTTAGTGACCACTATATGGAAGCAATAGAAGTGTGTCCGGATCGTTGCAAATGGAAGTCCGTAGTCTCTGCTTATCCCTTTGGGTAACAGGCGTGAGTGTTTATGCTATGATAGCTATAAAACTTATTATAGTTTCAGCAGAAATCCAGAAGCATTGAGGTTTTATATGAACTACAGATAATTAACGATTTATATGCCATTTAAAAAAAATGCTCAACTATTAAAAGAAAAAGGTTTAAAAACAAAATGTTAGATAATCGAATCCTAAACTGCCTTATAATGGCAATGTAACGAATCCCCTCCCCCCCGTTTCGTCCCGCGGGTGTCTTAAGAAGGAATTATGGGAAGTGCCAGTGTAATGGCTTTCTATAGATTGCGGTATAAACATAAAATACTCTTTTTTACAGAATGTGGGTGACAAACGAGCACACAATCCACCTGCTGATAAGTGGATGCTGTGGCCCATCTACATCTATCTTTAATTAAGAATCAAAATATAGATGCGTTGGCCTCCCTGAGGACTAAGATGGAATGCGTCGTTTCCAGTTTAATGGGTTTTTTACGCTCACCATATGAAACACTGCAGCATTAAGCTGCTATTGTACGCTGGTGTGCTGTGAGAGCTCGGTCCTACCCCGATCAAGCCGACACATTCGTGCTACAACCATAATATAGCTGCAGCATAACTCTACCACGTAAGATATACATGCTGATGAAGCAGTCCTAAAGGAAATAACTTGACATTTAAATAGTACGCTTGTGTCCGGTATTTATGTTACGTAAATATCTCACATGATTGTGTTGGGTGAAGAAATTTTCCATGTAATGTTGTGACTTGTTTACATAGTCGTTTTACATAATCCGGCTATTTTAAATAGTTGTGTCTTTAAATAATCCCAATAGAATTATGTATTTGTGCCATTTGCAGCAGAGACTATCTGTCTGTGCGGTCTACGTGCGTGATGACCCTAAAGAAACTCTAACTACCTATCCGCAACGGGTCATTGCTGCTGGTAATAAGAGGGCTGGTTCTTTACTCGTTCAAAGCCTTGAAAGCCATTCAGCGAGGAAATACAGCATTCTTAGCACTATAACATGGGGAGCAGGACGGCATGATAATTTAAGTTTATAGTTATTTTATAACGTTAATATATATCGTATACATTTTAATTTAATGTGAATAAATTTAATGTTACGTAAGAATAAAGTTGTTTGTTAACTTTTACGTGTGGGAGTAACACGTGACTTCATTTATAAGCATGATTTTATTAAAAGCCATTTATACAGCAAGAGTGAGTGCGAGTCGCCATTAAAGCGTTTTGGTTCCGTATTTACTTAATGACTCATGTTAATTACAAATTGTTAAAAATGTAGTAAGCCTCAACAGGCAAGCCATGCCGAGGCAGCCTGATTCCGTTTACTTATAAAAAAAAAGAAATATAGTTACTAGTATAATAATAACAATAATAATACTTTGTTAGACTCAAGAATTTAATTACATTCTACTTTATTTTGGATCTATGCAAATTAAGATATAGTTTGAATTTGTCGAAATAAATTATTCAATTAAAAATTTAAGTTCAACGTGAAAAAATGAATAAAAAGGAAATTGTAGTTATAATCACATATAATAATTACTAAATATATATATATATATATATATATATATATATATATATATATGTGTGTGTGTGTGTGTGTTTTGTGTTTGTTATAATACTTGAAATAGTGTAGTTAGAGCGTGAAAGTGATTGTAAGAGTTAAAAATATGTTTAATCAATTATTTGGTATTTACATTCAATAGATTTTCGCAGCTATCAGTAAAGTTAGTTATTCAAAATGTCACACACGTCGGGATTTTCTCTTGTACCGTGGAGGCGTTTAAGACGACACATCGAAAACGCTATCGCCGTACTGGTTCGAGTGAATACATAATTTCTATAAAGACTTGAAGAAACGCCGTCATAAGGTCCAAAATAGCGTAGCGCTCGCGACGATTAAAAGCGCTTAGAAATTGTCAGAATTTTAAAATATTCTCAAAATAATGAGCAAGTAAATTATGAATATTGATGTTATGAATATATTTGAGTGATCCAGCTTTCAAATATTTTCGTTGTAATTTCAACTATAGTCATTTTTTAGAGGTGTTTTCGCAAAAATTACGATCGAGTCAAAACTATACAATCGTGTTTTTGAGAAATCAAATTCAAGATAAAGACATGAATTTTCCTATATCAAAATCCCACTTTCGTTAGTGGTGTCATAGTCCTATACTATTCGATGAAAGGAGGTGCATTTTTTCACGGTGTCGCCTTAACCTATCTACCAAATGTTGCACAAGGAAACCGGTACAATTATCTATAGACTGTACAAACACTTGTTCAGTTTTCGTAGATCAATCTCTCCATAGATATCGCAACATAAAATATATTTGACAAAGTTTTGAAGTTAAACTTCTTAACACACGCTTGACTTGGGGAGTAAGCTGGCTAACGCGTGACGAAAGCGTTACGAAAAGTGTGATCGGACGAGGCGAACGGGAGTTGAGTGGCGGATATAAGCAAGAGAGAGCAGTGCGCGCGCACATTTTCTTTCTCTCTTTCTCTCAGAGTCCCGTTATTTTTCGTGATTTTATTTCGTTTAGAGTAATTTTATGTATTATTATTTTGTTTACATATTAAATATTATACGTTTAAAGTGAATAAAATTGTAAATACATTTTAAAGTTCATGTTTTGAGAATTTTCGGGGTGAATAGTAACAAATTATGGAAGGAAGCCGATAATAAATTTAAATATTTTTAGAAAATTAATTTACGTATATACATGCATATATTACACATATACGCATATATAAAATATACATATAAAGACATTATATATATGTATATATAAAGATGGAGCTAAAGAAGTTTTACTTCAGTCGTGTGGTCATAAGGATACTCATACTCAATTTTTTTTATAGCTATTATTAAGAAGACGCTGCTCCCCATTTTCTACTTTTTTATAGAAGAGGGGGCAAGCGAGCTTACGGTTCACCTGATGTAAGTGTCTTCCGCCGCCCGTGAACATTCGCAACACTGAAGGAATTGCAGGTGTTTGTTTGTTTCTGTCTCTGTCGCCTCTTGCGGCGCTCACGTGACAATGGGTGCGTTTGGCAGAAAAAAGCGCTAGCAAGCGCTTACAAGCGCTGAAATATTTTTCGGCCAGGACACGATTACTACTTCAGTAGCGCTGATACAATCCGCCATTTTGCTTATTTAATTTGTTTGTTTTGAAGTAGAGTTTATAAGTTGTTTTGTGCAATATTAGTTTTAAGTAATATAATAACGTGAATAAACATATACATGTTATTAAAAATTCATGATTGGTAAGTTTTTAATATGAATACTTTATAAACATATATTTAAATTAGGTTCGGTTCCCCGGTTAAAACTAACATCGTGTCCTGGAGGAAAATAGCTACTAACGATTTGACATCGCTTACCGCTTACGATCGCCATTTTGCTTACAAGCGCTTGCTAGCGCTTTTTTTCTGCCAAACGCACCCATCGTATATATGATATCGTATATGGATAGATGTTTGCATAGGTGTCCATGGTAAGCATCAGATGGCCTGTTCGCTCAATTGTAACGTTTGTTTAACTAAAAATATAAGTTATGTGAATTAAAAGCAGATCTCTAATTCATTAACCGTGAAACCAAACACCATAAGTAATGCAATTAAAAAATATTTAAAGAGTTTATGTACTGTTTTTTTGCCAATGGTTATAGTTATATAACATTTAAACCGGTAAACGGAGAACACGTTTCGTTCATTCCTGAAAAAAAATGTAAAAGGCGTACCTTCACTTATTCCTTGTGGTGAAAAGAAGTAGAAAAGAGATCACTCTGTGTGGACTAGAGAACTTCAGGTGACTTCGAAATACATTTTTTAATTCGTTACCGCTACACTAAACAATCAAATACAAAGAATCCTAATCTATTTATTATGAGTTACATCGGGCACGGGTTAGAATAAGTGTAAGTGCTTTAGAGTTAGCGTGTTCATTTGTACTATTTCCTTAGCGGAGTTTGCTTAGTGTTCGGCGTTAATGGAAAACATCGTGAGAATTCTAAAACTCTTTCAGAAAATAGAAGGCTTAGCAGTGGGATGTACGAGGTTGTTTGCTACCTTAGGTTTCTGTTTTAACATAGTTTCTTTTTGTCATGTAGTGGATGTCGTAAGAGGTGACAGAAACAAACTGATACAGCTAAACAACAGCATTGATCTGATATTAAATCAAGTACCTGCGTGACCGAGCTTTGCTCGTTTTTTTGAAATTACATTTAGATACAAATTACATACTGATGAAACACGGATAATATTTTTTGATCTTAGCGACAGAATAGAAAAAACTGAACTGGTTCTTTGAATAAAAAATCATGAGTGCAATTAGTTTAATTTAAATTTTCGTATTTTTAAAAAATACTAAAAAGAGGGTTCGAAATAATAAATTTTCTCACAAAAGAAGGGAACTTGATAAAAAAGGGAAAAAAGTCGGATCGAATACAAGACCCGAACCAAGGCATTACGATTTCGCGATCGCTCGATATCCATCTCAGCTATTACGAACATTAACACAGTGTCAAAATTTACCTTCTTATATTGTAGCAGTTTATCATTTACTGAAAACACGGACAAAAAGACATTTTCTAAAAATAAATCCTAACTAGATCGATTTATTACCCCCCGAAACTCCCTGGACACTAAATTTTACGAAAATCGTTGGAGCCGTTTCCGAGATTCCGATTATATATATATATATATATTTGTATATATATTATACAAGAATTGCTCGTTAAAAGGTATAGGATAATAATAATAAAAAGTGCGGTTGCTAAGCCACCTGCAAAACGTGGCAACTACGGCAACTATCGAAAATAATCGGGATATTTTTTATGTTAATAATGTCCTCCAGACCGAATGCTGGTCACGGCCAGCCTCAACGGAGACTAGCCATCAGCGCAGGACAGGATTATAGTGCTCAAGTGTATACGCAAGCATAGGTGCACTCTCTATTCTCTCTATTCCCTCACTCTCATAATCCGATGGGACGGTAAACCGACACGACCGGAGAGAGATCATTCGCAGGACCAACGCCTTTACGTGCTTTCCGAGGCACGGGGTTGAGACACCGCCAACTTCTTGACTTACAGTTACTGAGAATTTCTTGACGGAAAAACTCAATAATTGATTTTTTGGCCCGACCCGGGATTCGAACCCAGGACCTCATGATCAGCAGTCGCACTAATACAACCACTAGAACAACGAGGCAGTTAAGGCAGTCTTTTATGTTTCGATGTATGCGGGGAGTTTGATCCTCAACAGTGAACGTTAAAAGGCTGGAATGAAAGATAAATAAGTGTTTGTGGTCTTGATGTTTGTCCTTCTGCAATTTATGTATGTAAATTACCTCCACGATATAGGAAATTTTAATTTGGGTGCCATTTTATAGAACTAACTATCTTATTACTATACATGGCGTATGATATGTAAGAGCAATGCTGTATCAGTATTTTGGTTGTAGAATAAATGGGTCGGCTTGAACGGGAAAGGACCACGCTGTCACAGAATACCTGCTGTGTTTCACATGGTGAGTGTAGAGAACCGGGGACCCTTTTTACTGGAAACCAGGCGTTCCAGGGTGGCAACGCATCTGCATTTTGATTCTTAATCGAGGATAGAACGATTGATATATGACTTGTTCTGGCCTTTAATGGGAAAATAATGCATACTTTCTTTTAAATATAATAATACTTTCTTTTTGTTAAAGGAAAGGAGTATGTTACTTACACAATGTGCCTGTCGAGCCTCTTCAATGTAATGGGTGGTGATGATGACAGTCTTGTCTCCGGAGCTGGTGATTTGCACGAGGTGAGTCCAGATGGACTGACGCAGTAGAGGGTCCACTCCAACGGTAGGTTCATCGAGGATTAGGAGCTCAGGGTCGTGCATTAGGGCCACGGCGAAGGAAACACGACGCTGTTGTCCGCCACTGAATAAGTGAAAATAATTTTATTAAATTCCACAAATTTTAAAAAGAATATTTAAAAAAGTTCATGTTATATTAAGGAATTCATTAATGAAAATAATTCCTGGGAATTAAGGTAATTGAAATGTTATAATCATTCACAAAAATAATTTTACAATATCAATGTAAACTTTAAAAATAAACCCGCTAGGTTTCTTGATGGTATTTTTCAGGACATTGGTATTTTATGAACTTGGTAAAAGCAAAATGGTTTTATAAAAAAAATTACCAGCTGGCTATAGATAGCTGCAGCGTGGATTTACCAACGTGGTAGAGCCACGCCTCAGCTATATTATAGTTGTAACACGAATGGGTTGGCTCGATCGGGGAAGGACCTAATACTGCTGTGTTTCGTATGGTGAGTGTAGAGATCCGGAAACCCTTTTTAACTGGAAACGAGGCATTCCATCTTACTCCTCAGGGGTGACAGCGCATCTGCGTTTTGATTCCTAATCTAGGATAAATCACACCCACACAGCATCCACTAACAATGAGGTGGATTGTGTGCTCGTTTACCACCCTTATTCTTTAAGAAAAACCTGGTAGAATTATTATCAATATATTGACGTCTTTTTATTATTGTATAGCTGTACTTTGTAGAGGGACGACACCGGCCTCTTTAACCCCCGATGAAAACAGAGGGGTGTTATATGTTTGTAGTGGGTATCATTGTGTCTGTTTGTGGCATCATAGCTTTTAAAAAGATCCATAGGATAGTTACGAGTATGTTTCAAGAAAATCTGTCCAGCCATTTTAAGATAGTAGGCTCTTTTTGTTTCAGGGGTTTTTAATTTTTTTAAAGTTATACAGCTAAACCTAGTTAAGCGACCTGGATTCATTTTATACTCTTACCTATAGTACACAGTAATTTAACATTTAGTTTTTGCCTAGGAAAAGAATAATCACTATATAATATAAATATTAATATATTTTTATTTTACATACTACAACTAGATTATTAAACCCACAGTGTAAGTGATGGTCTCAAACACAAGTACTCAACCTAGGTTAGGCAGGTAGCTAATACTATAAACTTGACTCTTCAATTTTTATTTGTAGATTCTACATTATTAAGCTACACATAGTTTTAATTTTATTTTAGCATGCCATTTTTATTAGACTTATTGTTACTTTTATTTATAATCAAATTTGTTCGTTCGTAAACATGTGTAATTGGAAATAAAATAATTTACTATTATTATTAGAATAGAATAGAATACTTTTTATTCAATATAGATTACAAGTAATTCTTATTGAAAGTCAATATTTTACTTTACCACTGGTTCGAAAAAAACCTCTGTCCTGGGAAGAGCCAGCAAGAAACCTAGCAGTACTTTTTTTTAAATAAATTTTACAATGTCAAGGGTCACAAAATATTTACAAAATTTATTTTAGAAACAACTTCGAAGCGACCGCCGCATTCCCAGGGGCTATTATCAACCATGTATCCATTCATATCATAATAACCCTTTTTATACAGTTTTTGTTTAATTAAATATTTAATCTTGGTAATAGAGAGACCTTGTATATTTTTGGGACTTTGTTGTAATAGCGTATACATTGTGCTCCATGAATGAATTACTGACTCTGTGGAGTCGAGAAACTGGTAGCACCAGCTTGTGTTTGTTCCTAGTGTTTACAGAGTGTATGTCACTGTTTTTACTAAAACTACCCTTATTTTTGTAAACATACATCAAATTTTCGTAGATATACTGAGAGGCCAAAGTTAGAATATTTATATCTTTAAAATTTTCTCTATATTTAGATAGGTTAAGAGAGGTCTCTTTTATTGAGATAGGTTAAGAGTTAATACATACTTATTTTAAATTTGAATCAAAAACTCTTCTAATATATCCTTTCTCTCGCTGCTGCTTTTTTGTTAGAATTTGAGTCCAGGTGTTCATGAATAGCGGCATCCACTAACCATCACATGGACTGTGAGTTCATTAGTCGTTTTAGCTTATAAAAAATGACGAAGGGAGGCTAAGATATTTATCGTCCTAAACAATTCAGTCTCTCCGTTACTTTTCTCGTAATAACTTTGTTGTAAAAATTCTCTTGTGATATCACTGACGTAACCAACTCTAAGATCGACAGTATAAATAACGTATCAAATAATATAGTTTAGAAATGTGTATCGTAACACCACGTTATAAACTTTCGCTATGCGATTACACCGCATCCGATATACGACTATAAAGCAATAGAAATTGGCCGAAGTTAAAAGTGAAAATCGTCTGAAAGTGCTGACTCATATAGTTTTGTAACATTTGCATGACTGGTAATTCACGAAATCCGAACACTATCGTGTAGCACACACGACATTAATTATAGTGTAACGAGATTGTCTTCATCTTTTATTAACTTCCCATTCAGATGTAATGGATTCCATATTTGAAAGTCCAAATTTTAACGTTTCATTCTTTTGCTTTTGGGCTCAATAAAGTAGGACTATTTTCAAAAATAACTCTGTTTTTATGCATAGACTAGCCTTGGCTTCGCCTGGAGAGGATCTATTGATGCCACGTTATTTGGACTGAAGATAATCAAAGACTATTTATGTAATTTTTTTTAATTTACAAATTGTTCGAATAAAATATAGCCTAGATTCCTTCTGGAAAAGCTCTCTATCTGTTCGTAAAATTCCAGCACACTCGGTTTTAAAAAAAATTTTTTTTTTTTTTTTTTTTTTTTTATATATATATATATATATATATATTGAATATTCTTTTTATATTTACTTTTGGGCCACAACTGGCTTATATTTGTGGTGCTGTACCGGATGTTTATGAATGTTCATTTCATTGCGTAACTAGGACTGAGAATATAAAAATAATTTAAAATTCATATAAATGACACTTATATACAATACCTAGTAACGAGAGATATTATGTCAACATATACATACTGCCGCAACCATTTAGCATGTTTTATATTTACTTTTGGGCCACAACTGCCTTATATTTGTGGTGCTGTACCGGATGTTTATGAATGTTCATTTCATTGCGTAACTAGGACTGAGAATATAAAAATAATTTAAAATTCATATAAATGACACTTATACACAATACCTAGTAACCCGAGAGATATTATGCTCAACATAACATACTGCCGCAACCATTTAGCATGTTTTATATTTACTTTTGGGCCACAACTGCCTTATATTTGTGGTGCTGCACCGGATGTTTATGAATGTTCATTTCATTGCGTAACTAGGACTGAGAATATAAAAATAATTTAAAATTCATATAAATGACACTTATACACAATACCTAGTAACCCGAGAGATATTATGCTCAACATAACATACTGCCGCAACCATTTAGCATGTTTTATATTTACTTTTGGGCCACAACTGGCTTATATTTGTGGTGCTGTACCGGATGTTTATGAATGTTCATTTCATTGCGTAACTAGGACTGAGAATATAAAAATAATTTAAAATTCATATAAATGACACTTATACACAATACCTAGTAACCCGAGAGATATTATGCTCATACATATACATACTGGCACCATTTAGCATGTTTTATATTTACTTTTGGGCCACAACTGCCTTATATTTGTGGTGCTGCACCGGATGTTTATGAATGTTCATTTCATTGCGTAACTAGGACTGAGAATATAAAAATAATTTAAAATTCATATAAATGACACTTATACACAATACCTAGTAACCCGAGGAATATTATGCTCAACATAACATACTGCCGAAACCATTTAGCATGTTTTATCACAGAACCTTGGGGCTATCTACACTACGGGTGCAATGGAAAGAGAATAGTGTAATTAGATTGTACACTTGTGACGTATGAAGAGAAAAGAAAATGAAAATTATACACACTGGAACATACATAGATGTACATGTTATAGCATAAAACATTAAATTTTATATTGATATATATATATATATATATATATATATATATATATATATATATGATTAGGGATTTTTTGATTTTGTTTCTTAAATTGTCCACTCAAAATATGTATTCTGATTTTGTTATTTTAATATTTATTTTAGTTATTATTTAATTTCAGTTTTGTGTGGCTCGCAGCTTGTTAGCGAATAGATATCCCTTAGCACTCTCTTCTGAACTTGTACGCTAGGCTTAAATAAAGGTAAGAGTATCAAAAGAGCATCTGTTTCTGTAGCAATGTAAAGAATGCCTTGTTACTAAGACACAGTATCAGCATTACGCTGCTAAATTACTACGATATTCTATAAAAGCATGTCTTCTCCTGTCGAGACGACCATGATATTTTTGCCGCGTGGCTCTACCACTGAACTTATGTTTTCCTAGTCATAAATTCATAATACATAGTATGCCTGGTCATAATGCATCTGCCGCGTCGCTCTACCACGCACGCAACACGCGACAAGCATTATCACTAACAAGTGATTATGTTTTCCTAGTAATAGATTAAATTATTAATTTGCTTTGTTTCAATTTTAAAGTGTAAATTGTATTCATAATAGAATAGCCCTCTCTGAATCTCTTGTGTTAAAACAATGAATTGCTTGATCAACAAAACGCGTCCAGTGTTTGTAAATAAGACTAGAATTTGTAACAATAAGTAGAAATGTTATTAATAAGCATCTATTGTTTATAATATAAATATAGAATCCTGACAGTCTCGAGCATAGATAGACTCGGAGTCGCTAGTCTCTCACATATATTATTTTAGAGTGTGCGTAAGAATTACTTGATTCAAATCTAAATGCCTTTGCATCTAACAAACAGACATGACCGTGACTAGCGGTGCAAGATTATCCACTACCTTACTATATATTATCCTTTAGGTGTCGTAAGAGACGAGGCAGCGGCATCTTCCTAATAGCGACTAAAAATAAAATTTAAACTGCGCTTGCCAATCCGCTTACCAACCCGCTTGCCAAGCGTGCCAGTCTAGTTAATTATCCTCCGGAGGCCTATGTTCAGCAGTGGATTTTAATAATA